CCCTTACGTCGCGGCCCCGCCGCCCTCACGTCGCGGCCCCGCCGCCCTCACCTACGCGGCGCCGCCGCCCTCACCTACGCGGCCCCGCCGCTCTTACGTCGTGGCCCCGCCGCCCTCACCTATGCGGCACCGCCGCCCTCACCTACGCGGCCCCGTCGCTCTTACATCGCGGCCCCGCCGCCCTCACGTCGCGGCCCCGCCGCCCTCACCTACGCGGCGCCGCCGCCCTCACCTCGTCGGCCTCGCCGCCCTCACTTCCGCGGCCGCGCCGCCCTCACCTTCGCGGCCCCGCCGCCCTCACCTTCGCGGCCCCGCCGCCCTCACCTTCTCGGCCTCGCCGCCCATGCCTACGCGGCCCCGCCGCCTTCACCTTCGCGGCCCCACCGGTCTCCCCTCCTGCCGAGCCGCCCGAGCAGCCGCCCGCCACGCCGCCCGGTACCAGAGCAGCCGACCCGGCCAGCAGCAGCCGCCGAGCCGCAGTCCAGCTGAGCCGCCCAGCAGCAGCCGCCGAGCCGCCGGGCCGCCGAGCTGCAGTACAGCCGAGCCGCCCAGCAGCAGCCGCCGGGCCGCCGAGCCGCAGTACCGCCGAGCCGCCCCGCAGCCGAGCCGCACTACTGCCGAGCCGCCTGACCTGCCCTATCTGGTGAGCACAGCCCCACTGCTACTGCCTGCCCTTCCCACACTGCTTGCACTACTAGTCTGTCGTCATGGCTACCCCTAGTGTCCTCGCTTTTGACGCTGAGGGTCGAGCCATTGACTTTGAGGTCTGGGTCGACGACCTGCAGCTGTTTTTACAGTGCGATAGGGGGGACGGTCTTTCTCTTTTTGACCTCACCTCTGGCGCCTCTCCTGCCCCTGCTGCTGATGCTGACCCCACTGTTCGCTCTCAGTGGGCCACCCGCGATGCAGCTGCACGTCTTACTGTGCGTCGCCACCTGCCTACCGCTGAGCGCGCGCACTTTAGTCAGTACAAGAGTGCTCAGACCTTGTACGATGCTGTAGTTGCACGCTACTCTTCCCCTGCCACTGCTGCACTGAGCCGCCTCATGCTACCCTTCCTCTTCCCTGACCTTGCCGCCTTTCCCACAGTCGCTGATCTCATTACGCACCTCCGCACTAGTGACACCCGCTACGGCGCTGCGCTTCCTGCTGACTTCTGCGCCAAGAACCCCCCCCCCCATGTACATCACTCTCTACTTTCTAGTCACCCGCCGCCCCGACTCCCTTCGTGTAGTCCGGGACCACTTCCTTGCGGTCTCTCCCACCACTCTCACAGTCGACAGCCTAGAGAAGGCCCTCCTAGCGGCGGAGAAGAGCATCGTCGCTGTAGGAGCCTCTGGAGGTGACCCCCGCGCCCCCATCTTTGAGGGGTGTCCCCCTTCCCCTCTCTTGCCCTCTGTCGCCTCTGCCGCTGCGGCCGACCTCGTTAGTCTTGAGTCGGTCGGTGCGGCGTATGCCCCTAGTGGGAGACGCCGCCCTGGCAAGGACAAGGGGGGCAAGGGAGCAGGTGGGGCTAGCGGGGGCGGTGGCGGTGGAGGTGGAGGCGGCGGAGGGAGTGGGGGTGGCGCTGGAGGAGGTGGTGGGGGTGGGGGTGCTAGTGGTAGCAGTGGAGGCGGAGGCGGCGTCGGCGGCGGCGGTACTGGCGGGGGTGGCGGCGGTGGCGGAGGTGGAGGCGGTGGAGGCGGAGGTGGTGGAGGTGGTCGGACTGGCACTTCACAGCGGAGCGGCACTGGGGGTGGTCAGCGCCAGCAGGAGTAGCAGCAGCAGCACCGTTCTCGCGACGTCCCCACCCCTCAGCAGCTCCGTGAGTGGTACACGTAGCGTCAGCGTGGTGGGGGACTTGGTCCCTGCACCTACGTCCTTCGCACCGGCAACCGTGTGGGTGAGCAATGTGGGGGTGCCCACTCCACCCAGTGCTGTTTTGGCCGCCTGACGGACGCTTGGCGTCAGCAGTTTCCGGAGGCCACGGAGATCCCCCGCTGGGGAGAGCTGTCTAGGGCTGGCGTAGCTATTTTTGATCTTGACTTTGATGCTATCCTTGCTGCCATGTATGTTGTGACCATTAGTGATGAGGGTGACTGTTACTGGTGTTTTCCGCCCGACCCGGGCATTGAGACTGCCGCTCTAGGTACTGGTGAGGCTGCTGACCTAGGTGCTTGCGACGCTGCTGCTCTAGGTGCTAGTGTGTCTGCGTCCTCGGGTACTGGTGAGTCTGCGCTCTCAGGTACTGCGTCGGCTTCGGCCTCCCACACCTTCACCCTTGACTCTGGGGCGTCTCGCTCCTTCTTTCGGGATCGCACCACACTCACGCCGCTTAGTCGGCCGGTTGCGGTTTCCCTGGCTGACCCCTCCGGGGGTCCTGTCCTGTCTCGCTTCTCCACTGTCCTCCCGTGTCCGGCGGCTCCCTCTGGCACCCTGTCTGGTCTCTACCTCCCCTCGTTCTCTACGAACTTGGTGAGTGGTGCTGACCTACAGGATGTGGGAGTCCACCAGTTCACCCCTGCTCGTCAGCGGGTGACGCACTGCACAGAGGCTAGCACAGGTCGCCACCTGGCTACGTTTACCCGTCAGCCAGGGTCGAGCCTGTACACACTGACCACTGCGTCCCCCCCAGTTACTGAGTAAAGTAGGGTCCCTGCGTCTGGTCAGGTGTTTGTTGCAGCGTCCAGGTCTGGTCCTGAGTCTGCCCCCTGTTCGTGTCGTCTCCTGTCTCACGAGACTCTCCTCTGGCACCACCGCCTTGGTCACCCCTCTCTGCTTCGGCTCAGAGGCATGGCCTCCCGTCTTCTTGTGTTTGATCTCCCCCGGTCCCTCCCTCCCCTTCCTCAGGGCCCTGGCCCTTCCTGTGTCCCCTGTGTCGAGGGGCGCCAGCGTGCTGCCCCTCACTCCTCCCAGTTTCCTCCGACAGAGGCCCCGTTGCAGACGCCTTACATGGACGTGTGGGGCCCAGCCCGCGTCCGTGGACAGGGTCACGAGCGCTACTTCCTGCTTGTTGTTGACGACTACTCGCGTTACACCACAGTCTTCCCCTTGCGCAGCAAGGGTGATGTCACTGAGGTACTGATCGACTGGATCCGTGCAGCTCGTCTCCAGCTCAGGTAGAGCTTTGGCTCGGACTTTCCTGTTCTGCGTCTGCACTCGGACAGAGGAGTAGAGTTCTCCTCTGGCCTTCTGCGAGCCTACTGTCGTGCGCGAGGCATCCGTCAGACCTTCACGCTTCCGGACTCACCGCAGCAAAATGGGATTGCAGAGCGCCGCATTGGCATGGTCATGGACGTCGCTCGTACGTCTATGATGCATGCGGCTGCCCCCCATTTTCTGTGGCCGTTTGCGGTGAGGTACGCGGCGCACCAGATCAACCTTCACCCGAGGGTCTCCAGGCCGGAGACCTCTCCAGCCCGGGTGTGGACGGGGAAGGTTGGCGATGCGTCAGCGTTCCGGGTCTGGGGATCTCGGGCGTTTGTCCGCGACTTGTCTGCGGACAAGCTGTCCCCTCGTGCTGCTCCCTGCGTCTTCCTGGGGTTCCCCCCCAACGCCCCTGGGTGGCAGTTCTACCACCCCACCTCTCGCCGTGTTGTGTCCTCCCAGGACGTCACGTTCAACGAGTCGGTACCCTACTACCGCCTCTTCCCCTACCGCACTGCGTCCCTCCCCCCACCCCCGCTCTTCTTGGTACCAGGTCCCCCCCCGGTAGACCCCCTCCCCCCTCAGGGTTTTGCCCCTTCAGGTGTGTCCCAGGTAGATGCGGTCGAGCCTGTCGAGGTCACTGGTGACTCTGGTGCTGCTGCGGGTGCTGAGCCTAGGGGTACTGCGACTGGGGGTACTGTGCCTAGGGGTGCTGAGACTGGGGGTGCTGAGCCTGGGGGTGCGGAGCCTGGGGGTGCTGAGCCTGGGGGTGCGGAGCCTGGGGGTGCTGAGCCTAGGGGTTTTGAGCCTGGGGGTGCTGAGCCTGGGGGTGCTCAGCCTGGAGGTGCTTTGCCTGGGGGTGCTGAGCCTGGAGTTTCTTCGCCTGGTGGTTCGCCGGGTGCTTCGTCTCGCCGAGAGCCACTCTCCCCACAGGAGCTGCGTGAGTGGTTTGCCCGGCGCTGGAGGCGTACTGCTGGTGGTGGAGGTTCTTCCACTGCTGAGGGTGCTGCTGTCGCGGGTCCCGGAGGTGCTCGTACTGGGAGTACTGGAGCTGGTGGGCCTGCAGGTTCGACTGGAGCTGGTACTGCTGAGGGTGTTGGCGCTGAGACTACCACTGGCGAACCTGCTGGCGGTGCTACTGGAGCGGGTGATGCTGGTGCTGCTGGTGCTGCTGGGGGTTCTGGAGCTGCTGGAGGTGCTACTGGAGCGGGTGCTCCTGCTGGGGGTGCTGGTGCTGTCCCTGCTGTGTCTGGCGTCGCCGCGCGACCTCGACCGTACTTCGTTCCACTCCTGCAGCAGGTTCTTGGTCTTCCACCTTCTACTGGCTCTCCTCCTCTCTTAGAGGGTCCACAACCTGTCCTGTCCCAATCACCGCTACAGCCTGCTTCCCCCTTACCTGCTCCTTCTCCCTACGCTGGTCCTACTGGCGGTCTTACTTAGCGTCGTGAGCCTGCGTCTCGTCCTGCGTCTCCTGTTCGTCCTGCACGCGCTAGTGGTCGCAGTTCGCGTCAGCGTCCTCCTCCTGTCCCTAGCACGCACCGGATGTCACTGCGTCCGTCTACTGCTCCTCTGCGTGCCCCTTTACCTTCTCCTCCTGAGTCCTCTCTTCTTGCTCTTGCCGACCCGGAGTCGGACTCTCTTCGTGCTGCCAGTCCTACTGTCACGCGTTTCCTTGCTACTGTCGTCACTGACCCTTCTTTCGAGTCTTCTGTTGCGTCTACCCTCGTTACTGAGCTCGTTGACTTTGCTGCTCGCTGTCGCCTAGACTACGCTGCTAGTCTTCTCGCTGAGTCTGAGTCTGTCTGTCCTCCTGGAAGTCCACAGGCACCTATGTTGACGCTGTTCCCCCTCCAGGGGCGAACATCGTCAGTGGCATGTGGATCTTCAGGGTGAAGCGGCCGCCGGGTTCTCCGCTTGTCTTCAAGGCGCGTTACGTGGCTCGTGGCTTCAGTCAGCGGCAGGGGGTTGACTACTTTCAGACCTTCTCCCCCACCCCGAAGATGACCACTCTTCGGGTACTGCTGCACGTTGCTGCTCACCGTGACTACGAGCTGCACTCTCTCGACTTCAGCACTGCTTTCCTCCAGGGCAGCATGCACGAGGAGATCTGGCTGCGCCCCCCACCTGGCTTCACTCGGTCTTTCCCTCCCGGTACCAGTGGAGTCTCCGGCGTCCAGTCTACGGTCTCCGCCAGGCGCCCCGTGAGTGGCACGACACACTGAGGACTACGCTTGCGGCTCTTGGGTTTGCTCCTTCTAGTGCAGACCCGTCGCTGTTTCTGCGCACCGATACCTCTCTGCCGCCGTTCTACATCCTCGTGTACGTCGACGACTTGGTCTTTGCCACTGCTGACACTGCTGGACTCGCCTACGTGAAGTCCGAGCTGCAGAAGAGAAACACGTGCACTGACCTGGGTGAACTGCGCAGCTACCTTGGCTTGTAGATCACCCGGGACAGAGCACGCCGCACCATTACCCTGACTCAGTCACACATGGTGCAGCAGGTCCTTCAGCGCTTCGGCTTTATGTACTCTTCGCCTCAGGCCACTCCTCTGCCTACTCGCCACTCGCTCTCAGCTCTGCCTTCGGATGAGTCCGTAGAGTCGAGTGGCCCGTATCCAGAGCTTGTTGGCTGCCTCATGTACCTGATGACCTGCACTCGACTTGACCTTGCATACCCTCTTAGCATTCTCGCACGCTATGTTGCTCCTGGGAGACACCGACCAGAGCACATGGCTGCAGCGAAGAGGGTGTTGCGCTACTTGTGCAGTACGTTGGGCATGGGGCTAGTGCTTGGAGGGCGGAGTCCAGTGGACGCTTCTTGGGCTGACGACTAGGCTACGCAGCGGTCGTCACAGGGTTACACCTTCAGCCTTGGTTCCGGCTCTGTTTCGTGGCGGGCTACCCGCTCGTCTTCTGTTCTCGGCTCCAGTTGTGAGGCTGAGATCTACGCCGGGGCTATGGCTGCCCAGGAGCTTCGCTGGCTCACCTACCTGCTGACCGACCTTGGAGAGCCGCCTCGTTCTCCTCTAGTCCTGTACGTAGACAACAAGGCCACGCTGGCCTTGTGTCGAGAGCAGCGACTGGAGCACAGGACAAAGCACATTGCTCTCCGCTACTTTCTTGCTCGTGAGCTACAGCAGCGTGGACAGTTGCGGCTTGCGTACGTGGCCTCTGAGGCCAACACTGCTGATGTCTTCACCAAGGCACTTGCGCCTTGTGATCATCAGCGCTTCTGCACTCAGTTGGGTCTTGTGCCTGTCTTGCCTCACTTGCTCACTTCTTGACCTTGCTTGTACTGTCAATTATATATACTCTTGCTCTTGCTTGCTTAGCCTCTTGTATATCTTTATATATGTGTTCTTGCATGTGAACTGGCCTTTTGGCCTTTGAACTTGTGCTCGGAATGTGTGGTGACTTTGTGATCCACCCTGAGCTTTGCCTTGCTTTGCTTGACTGGTCTTGTGACCCCTTGTTCTCCCCCACTTTGCCTATGGGGGTGTGTCAGAACATTATAGCTTGCTTATTTGTGTAGGCTATGGTGGGGTATCCCATAGGGGGTACAACCCAATTAGGGTTTCCTATATGTACTCACTTCATTCATAGTCATTTCATTCTCGTTCACTTCTTCTCACCCTGTGGACCCGCTCCCCCCCCCACCCCCCCCCCCCCCCCCGTGGACCCGCGCGCCGCCCCGTGCCCCCACGGGCGCTGCCCTGTGGCTCCTGCGCGCCTCGGGGGGGCGGCGGTTTTCAGCCAGCGAGCCGTCCCTGCATCCCGCGAGCCGCCCTTGCAGCCTGTGCGTTGCCCCTGCAGCCCGTGCGCCGCCTCTGCAGCCCACGCGCCTGCCCGTGCAGTTCCTACCAGCCGCGGAGCAGCTCCTACCCGCCCCCTTGACTCCATCTCGGAGCAGTTCCTACACGAGGGGGGGGGGGGGGGGATATGGGGGTGGCGGCCAGCCGCGGAGCAGCTCCTACCCCGCCCCCTCGACTCCATCTCCCTGCTGCACCTGCAGCAGTGGGGGGGGTATGGGGGTGGCGGGCGTGCGTGTTGAGCTGCCGCTCCTCCTCCTCTCTCTCCCACTGCTGCAGCTGCAGCTGAAGGGGGGGGGTGGTGTGGGGGAGACTTGGGAGTGGCGCTAGGGCCGAGGGGTGTGACACGGGGGGGGGGGGGGGGGGGTGGGACAATACCAAGGGGGTGAGGGAGGGTGGCCGCCGTGAAGTCCGCAGCTCTAGTCGCCCGTGAGACCGTTGCGTCAGAGGCCCGTGGGTCAGTTTCTCTTGCCGGCGAGCGAGCCAGTTACTCCGGTTACCCGTTGCTCTGGTCCCCAGAGGGTCATTTGCTCTTGCCGGCGAGCAGAGCCAGTTACGCCTTTTGCGACCAGTGCCAGCAGCTTCAGCGGCCGCCCACCTCCTCTCCTCTCCAGTTTCCTCCTCCTCACGTGCCCTATGCTTTTGCCACCAGTCTTTGCGTATGAACTGGTTCTGTGACTGCTTGTTCTGTTGGCTATACCCCACTTTGCCTATGTCATTTGCTGTGTAGGCTATAGTTGTGTACTCAACACAGAGTACAACCCTTTTAGGGTTCCTATATGTATCCCACCTGCCTGCTAGTGCAAACCCCTCTTCTGTTTCACATTTCTACCTGCCGATTCTAACACCTTCATCACGTCCCGCGCTCCACCCACCGTCGACGCCAGCAGCCCCAGCACGCGCATCCCAACCGTCGCCATGAGGAGAGGCGCAGAGATTACAGGAAAGAAGTGAGAAGCCAAAGGGGCTTAAGGAGGCGTGTGAAATTGTTAGTGTGAGGATTAGTAGAGAGAGCTCTAAGCTAGCTAGTGACTTCATGATAGCCCATCATGGCCGTTCTATAGGCGGTTTTTTACCGAGACATGAGGTGTACGGACGGTGTTAAGGGCGGATTTCTCTCCTCTAGCATGGAGGAGGATTCACCCTTCCTGCTATTGCAGCTGCAGCTGGTGTTGAGGAATTATAACTGCTACTGCAATGGAGGAGGTAAGTAGTCAGGACGACACGGCAAAGGCCACAGTTGATTGCCACTACCAACCTTTTTCCCTCCTCATGCACCTGCTTGGCATTTGGGCTCCAGATGTTTGCTTTGTGTGTATTGCAAGCTGCCGTGAGACACGGAGAGCAACATGTCAAAGGTCGGTGAGCTCTCGTGCGACACGGAGCTGCCGATGGTCGGCCGGCAGGGAGAGCTTTAGCAGATCTGCAAGGCTCATATCACCCCAACACGTGGGACACCCGCCAATGCGCCCTGCGAAGCGGCTCTCCAGCATCGCTGCAAAGAGGCACAGATGTAGCCAACGGATGGTGCAGTCAAGATGCTGAGAGATCAATCGGCAACTAGTTGCGAGTCGCAACTACCATGACTAAGTCGATTTCGCACGTACTTGGAAGCCAGCACGGCAACGACGCTGTTCTGAATGCATCGAACGACAGTTTAACGAAACGACTTATAGGAAATTTTGCTATCGGAATTGTTAGGATCAAAGACAGAGTCTATCTATATAAGGGCCAAAATAACTCAAATTGTTGACTAGGTTTCTGGACAAAAACGCCGACTTTACAAGAAACGCCACCGACACAAAACTAACAGTTAGAACTGCGGAGATAACTCGTACAACGGGAGCTGGTCTACGGGGTAAGCATAGGGTAGGAGTGATCGTAGCATTCGATCCTTAGTCTTTCACTTGTGCTCACTCTACTTACGCATTCACAGGGAAAGTTGGCAATGGTTTCACTAGCATAAGTTCACAACAAATGGTTGATAATGGAGTTGGCAAGCAAGACTACATCAGATGCTAGCAAGCATGCAGGTCGACTGCGAGCGCAACACGGTCGACCACGTTCCAGCACAACAAGGTCGACCGAGGCCAAAGTCGTGGCCTGCCAACGCTGCAATTCGATGGCGTGCCAACGCTGCAGCAAGGTGAGAAGAAACGAGGAATGAGAATGACTAAAGGAAAGCTGGGTACAAGTACAAACCCTAGAAAGCTGTACCCCATATGTGCTACCCCACTATAACCTACAGCAGCTAAGTCATATAAATCTGACACACCCCCATAGGCAAAGTGGGGGAGGGGTGACAAGACCAGTCAAGCAAAGCAAAGCAAGCTCAGGGTGGATCACAACGTCACCACACATTCCGAGCACAAGTTCAAGGCCACAAGGCCAGTTCACATGCAGGATTACATGTATATATAAGGCTAAACAAGCAAGAGCAGGAGTATATATATATGTAACAGTACAAACAAGGTCAAGGGGTGAGCAAGTGAGGCAAGGTAGGCACAAGATCCAGCTGAGTACAGAAGCGCTGATGATCACAAGGGGCAAGTGCCTTGGTGAAGAAATCAGCAGTGTTGGCCTGAGAGGCCACGAACGCAAGGCGCAGCTGACCACGCTGCTGTAGCTCACGAGCAAGAAAGTAGCGAAGAGCAATGTGCTTTGTTCTGTGCTCCAGTCTCTGCTTCCGACACAAGGCCAGCATGGCCTTGTTGTCTACGTACAGCACTGGTGGAGAACGAGGCGGCTCTCCGAGGTCAGTCAGCAGGTAGGTGAGCCAGCGAAGCTCCTGTGCAGCCATGGCCCCTGCGTAGATCTCAGCCTCACAACTGGAGCCGAGAATTGAAGACGAGCAAGTAGCCCGCCACGAGACAGAGCCGGAACCAAGGCTGAATGTGTAACCCTGTGACGACCGCTGCGTAGCCTAGTCGTCAGCCCAAGAAGCGTCTGCGTGCCCAGTGAGGACCACTGGACTCTGCCCTCCAAGCACAAGCCCCATGCCCGACGTACTGCACAAGTAGCGCAACACCCTCTTCACTGCAGCCATGTGCTCCTGTCTGTGTCTCCCAAGAGCAACATAGCGTGCGAGAATGCTAAGAGAGTATGCAAGGTCAGGTCGTGTGCAGGTCATCAGGTACATGAGGCAGCCAACAAGCACTGGGTATGGGCCACTCGACTCTACGGACTCATCCGAAGGCAGAGCTGAGAGTGAGTGGCACGTAGGCAGAGGAGTGGCCTGAGGCGAGGAGTACGTGAAGCCGAAGCGCTGAAGGACCTGCTGCACCATGTGTGACTGAGTCAGGGTAATGGTGCGCTATGCTCTGTTCACCCAGGTCTGTGCACGTGTGTCTCTTCTACAGCTCGGACTTCAAGTGGGCGAGTCCAGCAGTGTCAACTGTGGCAAAGACCAAGTCGTCGACGTACACGAGAATGTAGAACGGCGGCAAAGAGGTGTCGGTGCGTAGAAACAGCGACGGGTCTGCAGTAGAGGGAGCAAACCCAAGAGCCGCAAGTGTAGTCCTCAGTGTGTCGTGCCACTCACGCGGTGCCTTGCGCAGACCGTAGACTGGCCGCCGGAGGCTCCACTGGGTGCCAGGAGGAAAAGTCCCAGTGAAGCCAGGTGGGCGGCGCAA